TGAAACGTGAGATTATAAAATTGTTTTATAAAGGACTGCTGAGAAAATACACCATTTAATACACAAAAATGACACTGGTGTCACTGAAGGGAGTGCTGTGCAGGCACTTGTGTCCCTTGCTCTGCCCATTCCCATGCATCTATCCAGCCAGGCTGACTCTTGAACTAGTTTGATGTGGTCCAATGCAGAGAAGTCAAAGCCATGCAGAGCATCTGCCCCCAAATTTTTATGTCTTCCTCATCCCTGTCCCTATTTAAACATTGCCTGGGATGCACCTACAGCATACCTTGAGAAGTGGACAATTAACTGAGAAAGACAAAGGGGCTTTTTACCAATTAATACAAAGCTAGATGGAATGCTGCAGTACTTGAATAATTGTTCTGCCTTCTTTCTGCGAGCTGTAGCAGAAGAAAAACAGTTCTGATGTATGCAATAAAAGCTAGTAGCCTGAATATGACAACAAAAATAAAAAAAGCCCATCCACATGAGTAATAATGAAAGGGCAGAAACAAAAAAAAAGATTTGACAGATGTGACATTTTTATTCTTCAATGTGGATCAGTTATTCTTGTTAATTATATCACCTATTCTTCCATTTTATTGATAATTACATGAAGCAGATGGATAACAGAATGCTCCCAGATGGTGAGAAAGCAAACAAGTTTATAAATTGTTTATTTATCAAGATGTCATTAAAAATATTTAATTATCTATAGTTTTCTAGTCCACTAATTATTACATGCACCTTAAAAGCCATCAGAAGTTTTAAAGATATTCAGTGTTCTGACCAACTGTTTTTACTATAACCTTACTAAAATGTGACTGACAGATGTGCAAAATACGATAATAATCTAATCTGTTTTAACACTATGGGAATTAACATTGTGAAACTTTGGATCTTTTGCCAATTGGCACTTCAAAACTGGTTACTGATTCAGAATACAAAATTCAGAGCTTTCCTTTTGATTTGGAACAGCTGTAGAAAGGTTTTTATCTAATGAGCAGATAGGAGTTTCTTTTGTCGGGTCTGCATCATGAAACTCTATAGCACAGCAGATGTATATGCAGCCTGATGCAATTTTGAGCTTATCTGCGGATCCTCTGATACGTTTGCTGCAGAAGCTCGGTCTGAACAGGCATCCCAAAGTCTGGGCACTTCCAGGACCAGATGCAAACAAGACCGTCAGCATCTGTGCAAATCCGGAGAGCTGTAATGGTAGAAAGGGGAGTTTAATTCTCCCCACCCACCCACACTCTCAGTAAGTCCTCACCTGATTTATACAAATCTTATGAGATATGAAATAGAATTTTGTAGAAACGGGTGCAGAAGTTTGGCAGTGAAATGTATTTGCTATCTGAAAGAGTGGGGTAAAAGCATCCCTTGCCCTGAGGCACTATTATTAGAAGAGGTCAGAATAATCATGAGAATTCACAGCCCTGTAGGAAACTGATAGCCACTGAAATGGCTGCGATATGTCTGTGAAATGGATATGATAGGTCTTCTGTAGCACAAAATGTGTCGAGTTGTATTTGCAGACAGACAGTGAAAATTGTTGGTCTTAAAACCAGACCAACCTTTAACAGAAAGGCCAGGCAACAGAGAGGAGGAAAGGGCAGAGCTCCTCAATTCCGTATTTCTTTGGAGAATCATTGTAGCCATAACCCCAAATCCAGGTTTCAAACTGGAAACAATTTGGGGCCAGGAAAAATGGTAAGGGCATGGAGAGAAGAGGGAAGCTGGGTAAGTGGAGTTACTTTCTCACATTATGGCAAATTATGATTTTCTATGATAAATTCCTAGATTTTAAGCACAAATATCTCTATCTGATGTCTAGCTCTCTGCAGAGGGACTACAGAAAGATGGACCCTTGCTTTCTAGGTACCATGAAACAAAGCTCATTCTGTCTGCTAAGAGCAGGAGAGAACCAGCCAGCAATCCATGGCAGAAGGGGTCAAGTTTTACCTTTTTTTTCCCAGACACTGAGGCAGAATAGAGCAATCTGACAGAGGGACAAAGAAAACAAATTATCACAGGCTTAAAACAGACAACTTCTGGTGCTCATCTGGCTGTGACACAACTGGTGCAGACCTGCAGGAAAACCATCTTCGGCACAAGTGAGATCCATCTGGGCTGGCAATGTGTGGGAATGAGCTGCGGGCCAAGCTTTTCTGATTTAGATCAGTGCTGCAGCTTCTGGCTTTGAAGAAAGGAAACGGGGAAGAGAGTCCTTGCGGGTCCTGCCTGAGTTATCTGCAGTGGGTCAATATTTATGAGTGAATCTCTTCATGCTCACAAGCGGGCTGGCATGTATTAAAGAGGGATACAAATTGATTGAGCCCCAGGGCTCCCACTGTGCACTCTCTCTGAGATACTAAGCTACTAATGGCCTACAGAGATACGTATGCACAAATCAAGAGCTGCGCTTAGGCACCAAATGGCTGAGCTGCTGAGACCCAAGCTGTTACTGGTAAAGAATAAATTTTGCAACAAGAAAAAGGGGGAGAGAGAGGGAGTGTGAGCTCGAAAGAGGCTGGAGCAGCAGAAAGGCAGAAAGCTGCAAAAGCCGGAGATGGGAAGCAGCTGTTGATCGGTGGATATCAAGGGGTATCTTGTGGGTATCAAAGCAAAAATTTGATTACGATTATCTCCATGATAAGAGAGAAATACTCAAGCAATTAATTAGGATGGGCAGCCAAATGAAAATTTTACATCTCCAAAATTGACTTGTATTTACAACCCTTTGTTGTAGTTCATGTGAAAAAAAACATCTTGCATCATTGCGGAACTACCCAGAATATGAATTACAAGGATATTCAGTCCTCCAAGTCTGCCTTCAAAGTTGCCTCACCAAAAACAAGCTTGCTGAGCCAGTACAGAGTAGTTTGACACAGATAACCCAGGAGCTGTCCCAACTATATGGAATCCCTGCCTGCTCCCAAGGTTTTAAGACTTGGCAAGATCCTGCCCCTATCCACACAACATCTTGAGGAATATCTTCTTTAAAACCACCCTAGCACAAAGATGATAGTGGATATTTTCTCCTTACTGCTAACCGAGCGCTTGCCTCAGACAGCTTCCTGCTACATCCTACTCCAAAATCTTCTCCTGCTCTTGAAGAGTGTCTAAGTGGGCACTTTCATTGCTACAGTAATGTAAAAGTATAGTTGATTTGTGTCTACTAACTGTTGATTTTATTAGTTTTATAAAATGCATTTCATACTTTAGTTATGACTTAGCTGCAGGATTTTGCAGGGAAGATAAGATTATTGATGAGATGAATCTTCCTTTCTGAAATGTCAGAGCAGGTAGAGAGCAAATGCCTTACACCTTGCCCAAGGAAACACCCCAGATGAGAAAGCAGTTTTAGTTTCTTACCTTCACCAGCATGCTCAGTCTCCCATGGTTGGTTATCTCTTAAATTATAAACTTTCCCAATCTGCAGTGGCCGAAAGTCATTTAATTCACTCATCAGAAGAGTCAATTTAGCTTTGTGTGATTTAAAACTCTCAGTATTTCACACACGCACACACACACACAAAACCCACAGCAGTAGTGGACTACCTGTATGCTTGAGTTACCATTTGAGGATCAGTGTCAAATACCAGTTTTGATAGAACATAGTCTCACAATAAAAAAAAAAGAGAGAGAGAGAGAATGCTTGCTGATGCATAACATATGGATCCTTATAGAGTGACTAGCCTCCTTTTTTTTCCCAGCAAAACTTTGTTAGTGAAAATCCTAGACGTTTTATGCCACAGAATTCACTAACCTTGGGATGTTTTAAACGATTATCTCACTGTCTGCAATTCTCAAAAATCCTCAGGAAGTACTTGGGATCAGAGCAGACACCAGCATTTCAAATCTGCCAGAGGTACAAGGTCTATGATTTTCTAGCTCCAACAAAAATGCTAAGGTGAACTCTTCTAGTCAGACAGTGACATTGTATTTTAAAAAGATAATAGGACATAGCTTAAAGAAAAACATTAGATAATTCATTCTGCAGAGAAGAGAAAGGCAGGAGAAGTGATGTGAAAGCTGAGCCCAAGCCTGTTCCACGGTGCCAAACTTAATTCACTGCCTCAGCCTTGTTCTGGATTTTGCTTTGTCGCAATCACTGCCTAATGAAGAGTTCTGGATGCCAAAAATTACTGACTAACTGTGAAAGGGACAGCACTAAAAATATTTTATGAGAGCCTATCTCAGCCAATTGGAAGTTAGGAGACAGATATAAAGCTCCCTAATTATGTTTCTTTAGTAAATTACAGCCACATACTGAGAGTATCCATCACTAATGGGCTTTTTTTCCTAACATTTCAGCTTCACTAGCTGCTTCTGTGAAGGAACCATCTTTACAACAAATTTTAGTTATTTAAAAATTTAAGTCACTATAAAACTTAACAAATGAAGTTTTAAGAGACTTGCAATTTAGAACCTCTGGACTACAGGAGTGCTATATAGATATGAAAAGATCAGTAGCAAAAACAATCTTTTGTTTTAATGTTGAGTCATCCCTGACATTTTGAAGTGTTTTTGAATGCATCTTGTACATAAAAAAAAAAAATCTGCCTTCAGAACTGAAGAATAAATTGATTTAAGCTATTTCTACAGAAGTTGTCAGAAGCATGACACAGTATTTTCCACTTGGGAGTGCAGAAGACCTCAAATGAACTTACCAGGAGGACTGACTAAATAGTTAAGTCAAAACATTTTTAAATGTATTGCGAGTTTGAAAGTTATTTCATGGAAAAGACTGCTATCAGGTAAGTTTAGCAGGTAAGTTTCAGAATTCAGGGAGTGCGGTTCGTACGGCTCAGCTTGCGATTCTCGCTTGCCAGTGATGGCAGCGCAGAAGCAGAGCTGGGACTGTAAGGGTATGGACCCCATGCTCAGTGTAATTAAGAAGCAACCTATCAACACAAGGATGGTAATGCCACCCCATCTGCCAAAGCCGGCGCTAGCTGGCACGATGCCTCCCGCCTGCTGCTGCTTCTGTTACCCACCTGATCCTTGGAGACCTGCTCTGATGGAGCGTTTATGCCAAGCTCTTCCAGAGGATAGACAATCTGTCGTCTTGGTCGCACGGGAACCATGTAATGAAGGGCAGATGTCAGGGAATGGGCACAGGGATTCTGAAACTGAAAGGCAGCAATCTATATTTCAGCAGAGAGAATGTCAGCACCGTGCATCACAGATGTCGGCTGTATGGCTTTGCAAATACAAAATCCTTAGCCCTGTTGGCTAAATCTGAGAGAAAAATCAGCAAATAAACAAACATACTCAGAGCAGAGGAATGAATTGCAGATAATTCCTGACACTAATGAAGATAATTATGAGAGTAATTACATTACTATCTCTGTGGGAATGACAGATAAACAAGTGGTTTGGTTTATGGGATTTTTCAGCACAAGTATTTTCCCCAGGAGGATATTTTTCTCCATAGTGATCATGAATCAGCTTGATCTGACCTCATTAAGCTATGTTATCTGCTTACTGCTAACCTTTGCTTGTTTGGCAAAGAACAGTTATGAATTTATATAGGAATTCCATACCAACTAAAATGTCAATTTTGTCCAAGTGATAAATGTTAATAAACTGGCATAAACTTGAAGTTAATGGGAATAGCATGGATCATTAGAAGAAGCCTTATCCATTTATTGCAGCGTGACTGGCTCTGTCATACCTTATGACATGAAAACGAAAAAAATAAGAGAATTACGGGAAATGGAGAATGAACATTAATGCAAACTAAATTACACTGAAGTACCTTTCCACCCACAAATATCAAAACGCCCTTAATGTTATTAATGTTACTACGTTGAAACCTGAGCAAAATATCACATTTACCGCTTATTAGGAAGTAAAAATGAGTTCAAGTAACTTAAAGTAACTCACTTTAACCCCAAAATAGACCAAACCGGAATCATTAGTAAGATTTAACTTTTCTCTTCCATCCGCTGCCATTACCCTGCATTTTGGTAAGTGCCTCTGAAGAACCCAAGAACCTAATGCAACACAAGGACATTGGTTTCTCAAGAGAACACTTATTAAAACTCCACAGAAGTGCTCATTAGCAAAGTAGGAAAAGACATCCTTTTGAAAAAGCGCCTATGTGTAACCTATCAAAATTCCTCTATTACAAAAAGGTGACATTTTCAAAACCACCTAAGTGACCAGGGATACTGTTAATCTCAATACCATCTAAAGTAAGGCACTGAGCCTAGCTAGCCATGCAGATATCTCCCAGAGTTAGGGAGCCAAGTGTTTCCAGAGGGTCATTCTTTCCACCCTAGAATATGTAGCTACGATTGATGGATGAATTGCCTTCTGAAGGCACCATGTTTTCTCCATTAATTCTTGCTGGAGCCTAGGCAAAACCAGATCCCAGCTCTTAGATGGCTACATATTGATGAGATTACATATTTGAAAATTTTATCTTATGTCCTCTTTTCTTGCCAAACACAAGACTGATGACAAGACACAGGAGCATTTTTAAAATAAACTTTTTTTTGCACACACAAATTCGGTGCTTCCCCAAAATGTACATTTGGTCACACAGCATTAAGTTCTTATGGTTCTTCAGTAGCACTTGCAGAAGCACAGGTAGGATGACCAGGTCTCACTGACTGTTGATGAAGCACACTCTGAAGTATCTACATCTCTTATGAGGAGTTCTTATATCCACTCAAATGTGCAACTCATGCTTTGTTAGGCTCGGTAACATCATTTTTCTTTTCCCTTTCCTGCACTCCTCTCTGCCCTGAATCCAAACCCAGGTACTGGTACCTCTCAAAATTTACTATGCAGCCGAGTGATTGTAGGTGAGACAGCACAGCTTGATCAAGTTCTATTAAATTATGTCAGGAAATACAGAAAGTTGGTAAATATGAAGATACTACATGTGCTTTATACCTTGTCATTTATAACCTGCTTTGCAACTGATTTGCAAGCAACATAAAAGCATGCCAGTTGTATCAGCATATTAAAAGCAATTAAATAAAAACATTATGTTGGCCTCCTCATGAGTATTGATGAATAACACAAGCTTCTTGTTTCTTCAACTATGCTTCCAATAGAGAAGCAAGAGACAGAGTCAAACTCGGATTAAGTTAGAGGTTACAACTCAGACACAGCATCCCACCTGGGCAGAACTGGCAATACCGGGTGGTTGCTACTTCCTCTTGAAACAGCTGTTTTGGGGATGGAGGAAAGGCAGAAAACTGCCAGTCATTATTACAACACATTGATGCACGGGGCTGAAGCAATGCCCCAAACAGCAGCGGTACCAGGACCTACATGAGTATAAAGCAGACCTACTTCTTCCAGAGCCAAGGGAGGAAATGGCCAACAAATTATTCCTCTGCTGTGCTGCTCCCAGGGAAACATACTAATGTGTGTAACTTAAGACACCTAACCACATTTAGAGCTCAGCTGCACAAGAATCCCTCTAAATTTAATTGCAAAGCAGGCATTTTTAAAGCATGATTCAGCTCAGAAGGAGCCATTCTAGGAATAGATTCTGCCTCTTCACACACTGTGTAATAAGCCAAGTCCAAGTACACTTTGAACATATGTGTTTGAAGGTATGCAATTAGTCTGGACTTACATGCACTCCTTTACATGCAAGGCTGATAAAGCTACAGACTAAACCTACTGTCATCAGCTATGTCCATGAATGCAGATCCTGTGGCATGAAAAGAACAAGAAAGAAGTTTGCTCCAATAAAAAAAAATCATGTTTACAGTCATAAAAGCAAAAACTAACAAATAAATAAAACAAAGTGAACAACCATGACAATATTTAGTAGATCAATCACACTCTTCTCACCTTGCCTTCCACATACTGTGGATAAATAGGGTAGTAAAGAGAAGACTTGTGAGCCAAACGAAGAATCTCCTTTAGAAAGTGTTTGGTGTAGTGCCGAAATATGGGATTTAACACAAAATGATAGAGATGTCCATGCTCCTCTCGCTGGTGGTGATAAAAATTAATAAAATCTTCAATGTTGTAATGTGTATGAATATATTCAATATCCTGGAAAACAGGAATTTGGAAATGTCAGCAGCAACAGAACAGCTGATTCTACAACACTAAAAAAGTGCCTACAAGTTGCGAACACTTAAATGAAGGCCTTTAAGAGGTATTTGCAATCAAAATATAATGACTGAACATGGTTCTTCACAATCTTCTCGTTGTATAAAGATCTGTTTTTGTAAGTTGCCTGCATTTATTTACAGAGAATGAATATTTGACCCATCACAAGAACATCTGATATGATTAAATGGTAATTATTGAAAACAAATAAACAGAAAACAATAGAAACAACAGAAAATTAGTCCTAATTCTCTGTTTTGCTGTTAAACACAGGGAAATGTAAGTTACCCTCTCACAATGCTGAATGTGAAAGAAGGAAATTTTACAGGAGAGAGATGTGCCAGAAACAATTCCAACAAGTTTTCCCTGACAAAGTGATAAAAGTTGAGATTTCTGCATGTATATGCATTCCACTGAAATTACTGTAGCCCCTTAATGTTCTTGATATAATTAAGATCTTTCATCACTATTTGTTTTTTTAAATTGAGCACTGCAAGTGTGGAAAGATCTAAAATCCATTTTTTTTTGTATCAGAAGAATGCCACAGAACAAATAAAAGTCTTAACAAATGCTTATTTTCTCAAGAATAACAGGTAAATGTCTTCCTTTTTTTGGTACCACAACAAAGAATTAGATTTTTTTGAAGTTAACTGTGTGTGATTTATGTCATTCTATAGGTACTATCAGTAAAAAATTGATAAAGTAAATGTAGAAGGAGAGTTGCTACCCTCTGCAGTATGCCATGGAACAAAAAAGATTATTGACTTTGGAAATGGGGCAGTAAAACAGGTGACCGCAGCAACAAATTTAGAGGCAGAATGACTTTCTAGTCACAGAGAACCAAAAATGAGAGGATTATGTTTTTTCCTCTATGTATCCAGTCATGACCTATGAGAAGGGAAATAACTGCTCTTCTCTCTTCCCTGTCTCTGCAGACTCCAAGTTTATAAAAGCAGTATTTTCTGTTAGGTAAATTTGCTGCTACATACATATATAGTGACAAGCATGGAATGCAGCTTTTGGTCTTAAGGGCTAAGTGTTAGAGCACTCATACAGCCTCATTCCAGGAACTGGGGAAGATACAAATTACCATTTCATCTTTAATAACAGAAACACCAACTATTTGATCCAAAGCTTCTGCTACAAATGCCTGCATGGGGGTCCCCTCCTGCAAGGCAAAAAGGGTAAATAAATTCATGCTTCTTATGTCTTTACATATTTCACTGTTTCATCATCGCTCTGCATTGCACCACATGATCACAGTTACAACACATCCATTCGAAGCTGTACCCCAATTTAGTTACTCTTCCTTAACTCCAAACATAATCCTCAAACAAAGCACACACAGTTGGCCTCTTGACCATACACCACCTTATAGATCTAGCTGCTATACAGTACAGGGTGTGCTATAGAAGCACCCACTAATTTAGTCATATG